GTTTGCTCTTATTTACTGTTTTGTCATTGATTATCTTATTTATTACTCATTAATTGCACTACTTTACATATTCGACTGTTGATCTTACACGAGACCAATTTGTGCATCATCAACTACCACTGTCATTGCCACCACCACTACCATTGTGTCACCACCACCATCACCATCACCATTGTTGTCGCCACCACTAGCATTATGCCACTACCACTACCAGCACCACTATTATGTCACCACCATTACCACCATTGTTGAGATGGTGATGATAAGAATAAGACAGTTGTGGAAAGATGATTAAAGGGAATGACAAAATTAAAATAATAATAATTTTCAGATTTCAGCTCTTGATATTTGTCAAACAGTTTGATTAAATTCAATACGTAAATTTCAGTCGACAACAAACAGTTTTCGAATTAAAAAAATTCAGCATTCAATTTTTAGTGTTTAGTTTTCAGTTTTATCAAATACCACTTAAGTACTAGTCTAAATTCCATTGAAACAACCCATTTCGGGTGAGACTTTGTGGAAAACCTCACTAGTGGCTACCAAGACCAGTCGGCCACCTCGACGTAGTCCCAACTAAGTTGTAGGAACAAATGGTGTCTCACTATGGATCTCAAATTGAGACACGATTAATTAAGCAATTTTATAGTTCATTTTATTTGTATGTTTTAGGAAAAATTAATTCATGATTTGTTAATGTTTGTCATTTTTTATAACAGATGGATGATGGATTTCTGGATTCAGGCTGAAGATTGATGAATGGTATAAGTTGTGTTCATGGGAAGTTATGTGTTCATATGTTTATGGTAATGGTATTATGTATTGTGGTTGGTTTGGAATGTGTTTTTAGTTGTGTTGGTTGTTGGTTGAAAACAAGGTATATGTATTAGTTGTGTTGGTTGTTGGATACATTAGAGCCTTTGATGAATCGTATAAGTTGTGTTTATGTGAAGTTGTGTTCTTATGTCATTATTATGGTTAGTTTGGTACTTTTTTTTAGTTATGTTGGTTATTAGTTGAAAACAGGGTATATGTATTAGTTATATTGATTGTTGGATACATTGGAGTCTTTGATGAATGATATAAGTTGTATTTATGGGAAGTTGTGTTCTTATGTTGTTATTATGGTATTGTGGTTAGTTTGGTACTTCTTGTTAGATGTGTTGGTTGAAAACATGCCAAATTTATTAGTTATGTTGGTTTTTGATTGAAAAATAGGTGATAAAAATTATTGGTGTTTTTTACTTATTGAAAACTAGTGCAAAATTTTTTTGGAAACTATTCTTTAAAAGAGGTTATTTATAAATAAAAAAATTAACTTTTTTGCAACAAAAATTGTTTCGTCGGGAAAGGTGGAACATAAATTATATTTTGCGAAAATTTCAATTTGCGTCACAAAAGATATTTACTCACGACATTTTTTCTTGCGTCACCAAAATATATGGCTACAAAAAAAAATTGGTTTTGAGACGCTTTTATTTTTTGTTGTGAAATTTACTTAATTGCGACATTTCAATTGCATCATCAATATATTTATACTTTGATTAATCCAAAATTAATTGCGAAGATTTATTTACGTTGCAAAAAATCAATTAAATTATTAAATATTATATTTGATAAATTTGGAGGTCAGTCCCACTTTGTGGACTTATTTGATGATAAGTTCATTAAGGAAACTTGTTTAATATTAAGTCTATTTTGATCTTCATTATCCAAAATACCCCTAATAGTTATATTTAATTAAAAAAAATTTGAAAACTAACATAGGATTTGATTAACATTAAAATTATCTCTCTCATATCTATCTATATATATGATAACATTAAAAACAAAAAATAGTAAAATTCAAACACAAAAAATAATATCATTTAAACACAAAAAAATAGTAACATTTAAACTAAAAAAAATAGTAATATTTGAAAAACTAGCAATAACAATAACACGCTCAACAAAAAAGTAACATGGTCAAAAATCCGACCCACTCATCAAAATGTCCCTAGTCATTTGGGATCCAAATTTGGGATTAACGCATTTCATATCAAAAAGGTGATTGCTTCTAGAGTTCACCAACCAACTCGGTGAAGGCATACAAAATCGTACATTTCTACCAATTCGAACCTCTGAGTCTAATCTTTTTCGTCGTGATGCATAAACTAAAACCCTAAGCCAAGTACAGTAGCTATGGAAAAAGATCCCAAATCAAGCAGCACTTGAACGAGCCTTCAATGCATTCCCTTTCCACAATTACATCAACACCACTGCTGAGTTGAATGTGGACACATCACTCGAATCCATTTTCAAATCCTTGCTGAAAACACCTCTTCTAGTGAATCTTTATCACCGCCAGTCTGTTTCTCAATGAAACAAAGAAATTTCTGACAACAATTTGGATGACTCATCAAAGCATGTTTCTTCAGTGGCATATCTTCATTGATATTGAACTAAGGGATGATAATTTTCAAGATAGGAAATTAATTTAAACTACTTTCAAGAAATGGTATTTTGGAGTTTTAAAAAAATAGTGGATTTAACTATTTATTAGTAAAGATTAAAAATGAACTTATCCCCAAATAAGTTTTCTTGACAGACTGAACTCATTATAAGTCCCTTAAGGAAGACTCAGCCCCAATTTTCATATTATATTTTTTCAACGACATCAAAATATAATTTTGCGACGCAAAATATTTTTCCACGAAATAAAACTAATGATGCACAAAACGTATTTATGCACCACTTACCAAGTATTTAATGTAGTAGTAATAAATGATAATAGTCAACACAAGCAAAACATAATTTAAATAGTTCAATCAAGGTGACCTACTCCACTATGAAGGGTTAGGATGGTCAGAGTATTTTATTGCATCAAGGAGTGTAGGGTGCTCAAGTGTTAGTGATATGCCCAATTTTGTTAATGTGGCTTACAATTTATAAGCGTTTTCCTAACATATTGAGGCGCATTTCTCGTATCAGGTGAGGTAGTTTGATGGAGGTGACGCTCTTCTCATAACAGGTGAGACAATTCCGTGGAGATGGTGACATGCACGTCCCAAGGAGATCTCCTCGTATGTTAGTTGTGGATTGAGTCTCTCGCCACGACACGACTGATTTGACTCTCTCAAGATGGCACGACTGAGCTGACGTCGTTTTCTCCCTCTTGTGGTGGGCCTGACTTGCATCCCTCTGAGTTGGGCCCTGTCTGGGCGGGGCCTGTCATTTGCTCACATGCCTCGAGCCTAATGGGATTTGGGGGAGAGGGCATTAGTAATAAATCTTGTCATTATACTCTTTTAGCAGCTAAAATTTGATGAGGCAGACATAGACACGATGGGGTTGTAAAGGAGGAGTCGTGAATGGCTCACGAAAGACTTGCACCTCCTAAGGTTACTTACATGAGAGCAGACAAAAAGTTAGACCGAGCTTTTGGTGACTCATGAGAGAAGCGCTAAGCTGGAGACTGAGGCTGCTTATACGAGAGTAGAGGCAAAGTTAGGCCGACCTTTCGGTGACTCGTGAGAAAGTTGCTAAGTTGGAGACTGAAGCTACTTGCATGAGAGTAGAGGTAGGGTTAGGCCGACCTTTCGGCAACTCGCAAGAGAGCTACTAAGTTGGAGATTGAGGCTACTTGCATGAGAGTAAAGGCAAAGTTAGGCCGACCTTTCGACGAATCGCGAGAGAGCCGCTAAGTTGGAGACTGATGCTACTTGCGTGAAAGTAGAGGCAAAGTTATGCCGAACATTCAGCGACTCGCGAGATAACCACTAAGTTAAAGACTGAGGCTCCTTGTGTAAGAGTAGAGATAGAGTTAGCCCGAGCTACTGGCAACTCAGGAGGCTTACTCCTAAGAGATGGAGATGAGGAATGAGATGGTGGTGAGGGTAGACAGAGGGCTTTGGCAGCAGGAGACGCGAGCAGGTGCAAGCAGTGAGGCACTATGCAAGAGGCACGGACGCCGACAGGACAGAGCTAACGAAGCATGGCATCCGACACGGGAGGTGAGGGCACCAGATGCGAGGAGGAGAGCCTCAATAAGGGTGATTGTGCACTTGGGGTGCTTCTAGATGAGCGCGATGCAATGGGCGGAGCCAAAGCTGGAAACGCACCTAGACTAGGGAAGTAGGCACCAAGGCAGGTGAGGTGGTAGGCTCTGAGGCGGGTAAGGCAGGCGAGGCACCAAGGTGAGCATAGGCGCGGATACCCTTGGCTAACAAGGTGTGCAAGCACCCTTATTAGGCAAGGTGCGAGGAGCACAGAATAGGCGCCCTTATTAGGCAAGGCATTGAGGTAGGCAAGGGTGCCATTGGCAGGCAAGGAGCCAAACGTTGGGCGCCCTTGGCAGTTGAGGCACTGAGGTGAGCACGAGCCCAGGTGCCCTTGGCAGGCGAGGTGCAGGGCGCCCTTGGCAGGCGTGGCACTGACATGAACATGGGCATGGACACCTTTAGGAGGCGAGGCACAAAAAGGGTGCCCTTGGGAGGTGAGGTGCTGAGGTGAACACAGGGCACCTTGGTAGGCAAGGTGCGGGGCACTAGGTGCCTTTGGTAGGTGAGGTGCCGAAGTGAGCACAGGCTTGAGCAGCCTTAGTAGGCGAGGTGCGGGGCGCCTTTGGCAGGTGTAGTGCCGACATGGACATGGATGCCCTTGATAGGCAAGATGCACGAACGCACTTAGTGCACGATGGGCGAGGCACTTGGGGCGCTGCCTCTTTTGGGTGTTGGGGCACGACTCCTTGATGGTGCCCAACGAGTAGTAATTGGATGAGTTCTTGGTTTTGGTTCACCAACAATTGCATATTCTCCGGTAATTGTGGTTCAACGACAGTGTATGTCAACGGGGGCGGGACCTCTTCGTGATGTAGTTGATCGTCATCTTTCCCTTGTTGATTCATGGATCGAGTTGTAATACTCATAAAATGCACAAAGAGTAGGAAAGAATGGAAAGATAGTAAGGTGAAAATGGGAAGACAATAAGGTGAAAAATAAGTTGTTTCCACAAACGGCGTCTAACTGATGATGTACAAAACGTGTTTATGCACCACCTATTAAGTATTTAATGCAGTAATAAATAATGAGAGTCAACACAAGCAAAACACAATTTAAGTGGTTTAGTCAATATGACATACTCCACTGTGAAGAACTACGATGACCTGAGTGTTTTATTGCATCAAGGAGTGTAAGGTGCTTAAGTGTGAGTGATATGTGTGAGATGCCCCCTTACGTAGATGGGGTTTACAATTTGTAGACGCCTCCTAACATATTAAAGCTCTCGTATCAGGTGAGGTAGTTCAGTGGTAATGACACCATTCTCATAACAAGCAAGACAATTCCGTGAAGGTGGTGACGTGCACGTCTCAAGGAGATCTCCTCGCATGTTAGTTGAGAACTTAGTATCTCGCTATGATGTGGCTGATTTGACTCTCTCAAGATGGCATAGCTGACCTGACCTAACCTCCTCCCTTCTGTGGTGGGCCTGGCCTGCATCTCTGAGTTGGGCCTGGTCTGGGCTGGGCCTGTAAAAAATCGTCGCAAAAAATAATTCACAATGTTTTTTTTTTGCGACACAAAAAAACATCACAAAAAATAAATTTTCTTTTAGTGGACAAGGCATTTGAACCTCTTACAAACAGTCACCTAAAAACTGTCTATCAATTAGGATATCTCCGTCGATCCCAGCAGATTTTGAAGCAACAAAATGTGTCCATAGGTGAGTGCAATTTGAACCACAAAACCTTTACAGCAGGTAAATGTAGGGTAATGTGAATTTTTTGTTTGAACTTTAGTTTTTGACACTCTATTTGGCTGCCGAGAACAAAAAAAAAAAATGAAATCTTAAGTGCGTGCGTGTGTGACCACAAGAAATTCCAATACAGCCCAAATGTCAGCAGTTGAAAACGTCAGTTAGCTCGGCTATTCTTTGGGCCTTCAATGATCAATGTTGACGTTGGATGTTGAGTATTGCTAAAGTTTGAGTTATGTTTGATGTGAGATTTTTTTTTTGTTGCTCTCCTTGCTGTCAATTTGAAGGCATGCAGCATCATTTATTCTTTGTGTGCTTCAGATTTTTGCAAATATGAGACTATGTTTCACTTTTGAGATTTTGTTTGAGGAAAGGAAAGACATGTTTTTATAGCGATTTTGGAGCTCCTTAACCCAATGTTCGATGCAAAATTTCAAGGGAATCTAGCTTACAATTATTTTGTTTATTATGTGATCTCTTCCGGCACGAGCAATTGTTACTAGATAAATATGAGAAAGAAAAGTTCTAAAACAAGAAAATTTTAAAATTTTGGAGTTTTAGTTTGCAAATCTGTTTTAAATAGGTGTAACCGCTGATTTGTCAAACACACACACACATACACATTAGAGAAATAGTCATAATTTACGAAAGATCTAAAATTAAAGAATTTTAAATTTTGATTTAGTTTAAAATTCGGCCACCTTTGTATATAGATAGATATGAGAGCGATAAATAGTTGTAATATAAAAAAATTCTAAAATTTAGGCATTTTAAGTTTTCAAATCTGTTTTAATTAAGTGTACCTGATGCTTTAATGGTAATTTAATTTTTTTTATTATGATTTGTCCTTTTACTCTTAAATTTCTTTTGAATGGACTTAAAGCCTATTAAGTCTCCAAAAGGACAATAGCCTCCAAAAATCCCTTACTTTTTTTTGGCGGAATCTGGGATGAAAACCAGAATTTTATGGCGAGGGAACCAAATAATGGCACAATTATGACTTTTATTGAATGAAGCTATTCATGATCAATAAGACATCATTAATCTCAATTGTTTTGGAAGGTAAATAATTTTATTAAATTAAAAAATTAAGTTATTACAATGAAGCTCAAAGCACCCTAAAAGAAATAATGACAATTTTTTAGTTGTACAGAACTTAGTAAAATAAACTTTAATATGATTCCTTTGTAAACATTAGTTTGGACCATAGAATCCAAAAAATAATTCTTATTTTCTGGTAGTAAAATTTATTTTCTGGTAATATCTTGATTCACTATTCTTTTATTTATAACTTATTGTAATGACTATTACCAAATTACTTATTAGAAATATTAGTCTCACACTATAAAAATTATTTGTGAGTCTATCCAAAGTTGGTGATATGAGTCATGTTTTGTATCTTCATACAACTTGCATTAGTTGTTGCCCAATTGATGAAAACTCTTCTATGGTCGTAAAGTTTTGAAAAACAGGAAATTGGTGAACCAATCCAGCTAGAAGTCTATCCTTCAAAGAGATTGAATCCCTTGTTAAATTGAGAATATGTATGATAGCAAAAAAAGGGCAAAAAACCAGGGCAACAACCCATGTTAGAGCCTCCTTTCAGCTGCAAGTTGGGAAAATAGTAAATTTCACTTGTGCAAAGAACTAGTTATCTTTAAATGGAGGTGGCCTTATTTGGTGCAGGGTGTGTGATACGGGATGAAATATTGGGGGTGGAAATAGTATATGTTTAATGGGATTCACGTAAATTGGGATGTAAGAAGGGGGAAGGTACTTCGTAATTTTCATACACTTTGAACACTTGAACCGAAAAGAATGCTGAAGCAACTGTCCTTGGCAGCCAAAGAAGAAGATAGAAAGGTACATGCATCATTTGGAGATATCATTCACTAAATTTAAATGTCAATTTTCCTTGCTCCATCTCTCATGGGATACATCACAATCACAATGTTAGAAGAAAGGATATTTTCTATTACAAAGCAAGAGAGAGAGAGAGAGAGAGATTAACACAATTATAACAAAATTACCAACTGGTAAGAAAATATTAGTACTGATCACCCAGTCATGGCAGAGGCCAATGGTTTGGTGTAATCAACCTTAAATGATAATTCAGATGCATGGGGCTTCTCACTGTTGCACTTACTATAGCAACTTTCACTCTCTTCTTCAATTGTTTCCAGTCTCTTTTCGAAACTGAGCCTCCTTTCTGTGTGAATAAAACGGGGTGGCGCCGTTTCAACTGTCTGCCGATTACTACTGGTTGCCCTTGACATCGATCTTCTTTCTGTTTTTCTCCTCCAATGGCTTTTTCTGTTTGGGTATTAATTTCTGTTGTTCAGACATGAACTATGAACATATTTATAAGCAATAGAAGTCTCTAATATTCTATAAGGGGCCGTAGAACCAATTCTCAGTGGTCATCATCTACTTGTCTGCTGAGAATCTCTTGCAGTTGTTGGTTATTCACTTATTCTTCCAAACCTGCATGCCAAGAGGTTCATTGTAAGGAAATCAATGCACATTCAAGTGGTTCTAGTAGTGTACTAAAAAAGAAACTAAAGATACATAGAAATGGAACTTACCGTGCCATGAAGTTTTTAAACTTTTTTTTCTTCTTCGTTTGTTTTCATAAAAAATTTCTTAAGTAACTTTTGTTTTTCGTTTCTTGATTTTCGGTTTTTCGTCTTCCAGACTTATCCCTTTCCTCCAATATTAATCACTTATATGAATAATACACATAGAAATGCAAGTACAATGTATAATATTAACATAAAGGAATAGTTTTTGAGGCCAAAGGCAAAAATTCTATATAGGGCCCTAAAATTTTATATTTTAAATTTTCATATTTAAATTTATATTTTGTAATATGTAATTTAAGGTGAAAAATTACTTGTTGCAATATACCTTGTATAAATGATTATAGGAAATAAAAAATAATTAAAATATTGAGGTCAAAAAATGAAACCAGGTAAATAAGTCAGAACCAATGAAACTTAATATAAATAAGAGCCAGTAGACTCTCTTAACTTTTAGGGCAAAAATTATAGTTGGTCCATGAATTTTGTCTTCGATTTTAATTTGGTCTCTGAACTTTCAATTATCCTAATTTAATCTATCAACTATCAATTTAGTCTTAACTAAGTCATTTCATCAATTTCTATCTTTAGATCAATTGAAATGTAACCTAATCTGATTCATTTGAGCATATTAATCTAATGGTAGAAATGGACAGAAGGACTTACTTGAGATAAATTTGATAATTAATGGACTAAATTGGAATAATTGAAAGTTCAAGGACCAAATTAAAATGAAAGACAAAATTCAGGGATTAATTATGATTTTTACCCTAATTTTTATAAAAGAGTATGGTGCGAATTGGATATTAAAGTTACTAAAATTTTTTATATACAATTGTATTTACAGTGAGACAGAAATTATATAAAACGGGAAAAGAATAAATAATATATGAAATTTAGAAGACGAAACTACAAAAAAGAAAAAAAAAATTATGTAACCGTATGGCATACAAGATCGATAACCACAAAAAATGTCACAAAATCTATGCATACTGTGTAGTAGCATCACAATGACACAATTAACATCCCTTTGCCAAAACTCAATTTCACAATGCTTGCATATCTGTAACTAAAGTTTATGACACGATTTTCTTCTTCTTTTTTTTTTATGGGACGAAAATGAAAGGGGTCCCAAATGGGTGAGGGCCCTAAGCGATTCCCTCAGTGGCCTATAGTTGGGTCGGTCATGCTTATATATTAAGCTGAATCTAAGTGATGTGTGCGGTACAAAAGTCTATCAATCAGTAAGCTAAAAAGTTGGCTAAAAAATCTTCTTTTTAATATCTTTGGGATCAATCCAATTCGATCATTAAATAAATCTCGATATTTCTCTTAAAATCATTTCAATCGATTGGATATCATTATGATCCATCATTAACTTGAATTATTGCAGTCAATGGTAGCAAATTGTTGAAAGATGTTTGATGGAATAATATTATTTGTTTTACCATATAAAGCAATAAAAAAAAAAGTAAAAGCTTTGCTGACTGATTCTAGGGCCAACTTGACCACAATGGACGGTGTAGCCTTTGGGTGCATTTCAATTAGTGCAAAATGTTCAAAAAAAACGAATATGATGAACATTCAAATTGCAGGATACTCCATTTCAGAATGAGAATCTTTGAAGCTACCACTACACAAGATGACTATATTCGACGGATAAAATATGGCGAAAAGTGGCAACCTTCGTGATATGAAATCTTTAAAATATTTAGCTTACATCGGTCTCTCAACAAATCAGATTCTAATCTGAAGCTCGTTACTCAAACATTATTTTCTATTTTTAACTGATAATCTAAATTCAGGTTGGAATATGTTATATCATATTTTCACAAATTTGATCTACTTATGCTTGAAGGGGGCTCAGAGTATTACTGTGCATGATTTGACCAGTTAATAAGGATATGTGGCAAAAGCAAGTGATAAATGTGAGAAAAGACAATACGACAAAGACAATGCCTCTGACTGACCTATGATAAATCAACCGAACAGAT